TGTCACAGTTCCAACCATCCCAACATGACCACTTTACCACCGCCAAACCCCCTATTAGTCTCCCTGCCTGCTCTCTCACATCTTCCTCCATCATTACCTCTCACTGTCTCCACCCCCCAACTGTCATCTCTACCAACACTATCGCTCCAAAAGGCCTTATGTGGGGGAAAATCTAAATTTCGGAGACAAAGGAGTTTAGTTGAGGAGTCCAGCAATTGGGTGGTTAACAAAAGTCGAGAGATGGAACAATGTGTGAGGCATACCTAAGCTCATGGAAGAACAGACTTCACTTCCATCAAGCCCCACTCAGCTTCAGTTATATCATCAGAACCAGAGTCTTGGCCAAGCCAGATGCAAGCTAAAGATAAGACAACAGAAGCTTCTCAGAACAATGGTCACAGCATGACATCTACAGGGGTCAGATAGGCAAACATGGGTCTGAATCCAACTCCACCACTTCTCAGCTGAACAACCGTCAGCAAGAGCCTAAATCACTCTGATCCTCAGGTTCCTAGTGGAGTAAATATCGATAACAGTGCTTGCCTTGCATATTTGAATTGCAGCCACAAGGATACAGTGATCAACACCATGCCTAACATATATGGGACTCTCTGTAAATGTCTTTTCATTCTATTTCACCCAAGATCACCAGGAGGCTGTTCCCCACATTCTCCTACTGAGCAATTTTATCACATGCAAGGCAGCAGCCCCTTATCCCAGCCAGCAGAGGACCGGTTAATTCTAGAAAAAACGAAGACATTTGGAAAGTTAAAATGAATAGCTCTTGTTTGCATTGTAAAAAAATTACATAATTGGTTGTCCAACAAAATACAACTCCTGAGAGATGTTGTCTCCCAAGAAAAACAGGGGGCACTAGGGCAGCGGGGGATGATTAGATCACAGTGCAACCCACATTCATTTCTAAGTCCAAACTGGTCTGAGCACAGAGCTCCCTTCCAGCCTCAGCCCTGCTTCTTGTCTATTTCTTTGGGGGCTTGGTTCTCACTTTATTCCAAAAAAGAACCTCATCAGGCTGGGGATTTAGCTTAGTGGTGCCGCGCCTGCCTGGCAAGCGCAAGGTCCTGAGTTTGATCCCTGGTAACCCCCCTCAAAAAAAAAAAAGTAAAAAAGAAGCTCATTGCTTGGTTAGGGAAGTCAAGTTTTCATTTGCCTAAATAGTTCTTATACAGCAGAGTTTATTTCTTAAGCATTAAAAACCCCAGACCTAGACTCCAAGCAGGGTGGCTGATGCAGTAAGAAAATGGAGGTGGAGCTCAAAGTTCAACCCACCTCTGTCTCTCTCAAGGTGCAGCTCATCTCATTGCCCTCTCAGGGCTGTGCAAGACAGAGGTCCAATGTACCTGGGGAAAGAGGCAAAAGACCCCCAGAGAAGACAAACCAGAGGGCTCCTAAGTCACTGGCAAATGGAAAAGGAAGAAAACTGGCTCACGTATATGTATTCAACACCAAGGGCCACTCTCTCTTCTAGATTCCACTCTTTCTGTATTTATGGTTATTTAAAAAGCCTCTCTTATGCAATGGAGCAAGAGTGATCAGCGCCCACTGGCCTCTCTTCCTGTCCCCTGCTGGCTAAAGGACCTGGGCTGTTGCTGTCCAGTGCTTTGCTGCTGTTTACAGGAGGGGCTCAACCTTCACCAGACAATTAGATGCAGCAGGGGGCAAGTACGGTTATTTCTGTCCCCAAAGCTGAGCAAGAAGGAGAGGCGCCATTGTGACCGGCAAGAAGGTGCAAAAGGGAAAGGACTGTCACCGCCAAGGGCTGGAGTGGGGTTAGCAAGAAGGGGAAAGGTGATGGGGGTAGGAAAGCGCTGCAGAAAGAGGTTTAGGACTTGAGGGGTGCTTTAACACTGAGAAGCTTAGCAGAGTTGGGGTGTAAGCAATTTGGGGAGGTACTGAGAGAGAAGAAGATAGGATTCCAGGCTTTAGGAATTGGTCTTTAGGTCATTTAAGAATACTAAGAATGGAGTGCATGGGGTGTCATTGAGAAGCTGTGTAGATTGCATTTCTTTAAAAGTAGCTTCACTTACAGACTGAAACTTTTGTGCTGTATCGTAGCTTTGATTAACCTGTGCATTTACAAGCTGATAGTCCCTACAGATAACAATTTTAAAAACATCACTCAAGTTGGCAAAACAGAAGGTTGGCAGCACCGTGTCAGTCTCCCCACCCGTTTTAGAACTGCTTCATTTTCGACATTTCAAAGTTTACAAAGCCAATCTTGGTTCTTCTCCAGGGTCCTTCCTTTCCTTTCTCAATGAAATAATTCTTCTCTAGTGGGGTCTGTTCCTAGAAGAAGATGAAAGAATTAGCCACCTTCAGAGTTTAATTAAAAGCATCAGTCTCATGGCAGAGCATGGTGTCACTGTCCTGTAACCCCAGCACTCTGAAAGTCTGAGGCATGACAATCACAAGTTTGACCCCAGCCTGGACAACTTAGCAAGAGCATATTTAAAAATAAACAAATAAATAAATATGCTGGAGATGTAGCTCTATGTGAAGTCCCTGAGTTCAATCCTCAAGGCAGAAAAAAAAGAAATCAACAATTTCTTACTAGTTTTAACAGCTGTTTATTGACTTATGAAAGCTTACCTGATTCTGAGTGTGGAGGTAATGGAAATAGAAATTAACATTTAATGCTTGAGAACAATGTCTACAGAGCAGGCACAGACAAGGACCTTGTCTAAGGAAAGGAAGTAAAGAATCTCTCATGAAGGAGAAATTATGATTGATGGAATAGGGAGGAGGAAGAAGAGGAAGAGGTCAAGGATGACCCCCGGATCTTTGTCCTGAACTCCTGAGCTGCAGTGGGACATCCCTACAACTAAAGAACAGTACAGGAAGAGAACAGGAGGGGTGGGTGAGGAATTAAGTTGCATTTTAGACCTCTAGAAATCCCAGGACCTGAGAAGATAGTCAAATGCCAATGTTCAGGATGCTTTAAGAGAGACAGATTTGAAGTTCAAGAAAAATGTGGACCAAGAGACTTGGATGTAGACATCAACCTGCCCATAGTCCCAGACAAGATTTAACTTTGTAGCAAGCTCTGCCTACCATCTTGCTCCCCTCCCATCTTGACCAAGTTGAAGCTCTTGTTCATCCTCAAGGGTTACCCTTTCTCTCTTGTCTCCTAACTCTCAGTAAACAATCTTAAGAACAATAACATAACCAATGTCCCTACAGGACCCATGGAGTTCAAGATACCATTTCTGTTTTATTATTCTTTGGGTTGCAAATAACAGAGATCCAATTCTCAAACCAGCTCAGGCAAAAACAGAATGTACTAGACAGTGGGTCTGATCGGGTCTTCCAGAGGAGGACAGATGACACAGCCAGGAGATGTAGGAAGAACAGTGCCTGTGGGAGATGAAAGGGAGGAGGAGGAAGAGGCAGGGAGCATCTTCAGATGTGGACACAAGTCTGATACCTGGGGAAGGAGAGGAAAGGAAGGAATCAGAAGAACCTCAGACCCCAGTGCAGCTACAAGAAAGGGTCTATAAGGTCAATGGGAAGCCCCAGAGCAGAGAATGCCTATAAGACCAGCTCCACTGTGGGCACAAAAGGCCCTGTGCCAGAATCCCCACCATGCTCAGTCACTGACTAGGCTGAAAGCAGCTGGGGAATGGTGTGGCTTTGCATGGAACCCTGCATCAAAAGTTAGAGCAGTTGGAGATTTTCAACCATGCTGCTACGCATGGGAGCCCCAGGGAGCTGAAAGAGATGCTGCAGGCAGGCATGGTGGATCCAGTGATCAATTTAGAGCATGGATCTCCCCCCACCCCACACCACTCTCTCATTCTCTCAGTCACTTTCTCATCACTGAGACACAATATCCAACACCTTAAAGTTAAAGAAGGAGGGGTTCATTTTGGCTCGTGTTTCAGTCCACAGTCAGCTGCTCCAAGGCAGGATGGCATGGCACAGAGACATAGTGGAGGAGAAGTACTGATGGTGTGGTGGACAGGAAGCAGAGAGAGTAAAGAGAGGAGTGAAGGAGGGGCTCTAACCTTCTGCGTCATGCCCACAGGGACCTGGCTCCTCCAACCAGGCCCTACTTCCTAACAGGAAGTCAGCTATGAACTCCCATAATCCAATGATCCCATGAGGCTTTAGGGGGACATTTAGATATAAACCCTGACTCACTCTCTCTCTCTCTCTCCCTTCTTCTCTTTCTCCATCTCCATCAGCACCTCTCATTTCTTCTTGCCTCTATGTACAATGGCTTCATATTTCTTCTGTGCTCATTTGACATAAAAGCAAAGATTGCCCTCACCAATACTAAGCATAGATTATCCTTGAAGAAACTCCAATTTCTGGAGGATAGAAATATACTCCCGCTCAGCATCCATCCTGACCTCAGCAAAAGACTCACACACACACCCCTGAACCAATCCACTCCATCCCAGGAGATGAGGATACTGTAAGGAGCAGGGAGGAGAGAAAGGGTCCCTGGTTTAAGTCTCAGGTGAGTAACATGGAGCAGCAAGGTAGTCCAAAACTCAAGAAAGTCAGTGAAAATCACAGACATCCACCATCATTTCCAGGCAAGGAGGAAACCAGGGAGAAAGGCAGATACTTATTTTTCGTTTGTTTGGTTTTTTGGTACCGTGGATCAAACTCGGGTCCTTGCACTTGCGCAGCAGGCAACGAAACCACTGAGCTAAATCCCGAGCTCAGGCAGATACTTATACAGAGAAGAGAAGAAAACACACAGAGGAGGCCACCATTTTATTTTATGAGTGGCCACCACTTTATTTTATGGACCATCAACTGAAGGTTCACTTGGCCCAAATTACTGAAGTTGGATTATGTCAGGCACTAGGATAGGTACAAAAGGAAAAATAAAATTTTCAAAATAAAGCTAATTACATTTTCTTTTTGGAAGAATAAATAGATGCCATCAGGAAATATTAGGAGGAGAAGGGGAATCTCAAAATTAAGCTCCAATAGTGGCCATCGCCATATCCAAATGACACACTTTTCAGAGTAACAGCCTAGGCTATGGAATTTTCATTACATTTGAGCCAGCTTCAAGCCACAGAGATTTGGTGGTTTATAAACAATAGAAGTTCGTTGCTCACAGTTCTGGAGAAAGAGATGCCTGGGATCAAGGTGCTGGCAGACTCCGTGTCTGGTGAAAGCTGTTTCCTGGTTCTTGGAGATGGCTCTCTTCTCTGTGTGTTACCGCATGGTGGAAGACGCAGGGCAGCTCTGAGATCCCTTGCACAAATGCACTAATCCCAATCATGAGAGCCCCACCCAATTTTGACCTAATCACCTTCCAAAGGCCCCACCTCTTTATGTCATCTCCATAGGAATCTTAGGATAAGAGGGACACAGACATTCAGCCTGTAGCACTGCATGATCTTGAGTGACAGCCTCCTTGCTTTCTTAGAACAAAATGGGAGGAGAGGAGAGGAAATTATTCAGGATAAGATTTTAGGACTTGTTGGCATTAGACTGGAAAGCACCCAGCACAGTACCCAGGACTTAGTAAGTACTCCATACATGTGTGTCAACCTGGAGGACTCCACACACTTTAAACTACCATTGACCTCCTGCCTTCAAATACCAGCCAGCCTCACCAGTAATCCTGAAAAAGCCCTTTGCTTCAGAATCCAATAATCCCATCGGGTCTTGAGAGGGAAAGAAAGTGTTCCAAGCCCAACAGGCTATTTTTGGAGATGAAACATCATCCCATTATTTGCAGAAGAAAGAAGAAAATGGGGCAGAGAGTGGTTCTTCATGTTACCCTATGCCTGCAGTTAATTGCGCCTGGGGGAAGGTTCCATTAGGCGAGAGATGTTTCCACATCCTAGAACACAAAGCACCTTTACAATTGTCCTTGATTTATTACATCTGCGAGGCTGACTTCTGGCTCCAACCACAATCCTTTTGGGGTGGGCCCAAGTTTCTGCTCAAGCAAGAGAGCAGCCACAGGCCTGGAGAGAGGGAAGGGGCCCAGGGATTCTCCTGTGCTCTCCTCTTAACCTGGTCCCCCTCTTGAGGCCCTGGGCACAGGTCTCATTTCTGCAAAATTCTTCCTATCTGGGCTTTTTTTTTTCTCTCCTATCTTTGAGAAGCTCATCTGGTTCATGGAAATAATACTTTGGGGCAGAGGTTTCAGAAAGGAATGCAAGCGTATAAAGGATCTCTCTTTTGGAGACCATGATTTGTGGACTTGCAGGCTGCCAGAGTACAGTAAAGCACTGGCCTATTCTCTGGACAGATGAAATAAAGCACCTGACAATGAAGAAAGTGCTGCCTCGGGAAATGCTGGTGGGAGGAGCCCACTCCTAGCTCTGACAGGTGGGGAGTGAGTACTAAGCTGCCCTGGTAGAGGCTCACAGGGGAATGTCTGGTCTATCCACTCCAACTTCATGGCCTTCCTGGGTGAAATAAGGAGCTGCCGTGGCTTTTGAAAAGAGGTTAAGCCAAGCAGCACCTTCCAAACTCCCAGCATTAAAACACATAATTAGAATAATTCCTACCATTATTGGGTAATTATTATATGCCAAACATTGTGCTGCACTGAACCCAAGCAGCAATGCTAAGAGACAATGGTCCCCATTTCTAAAAGGGGAAACTGAGGCTCTGTAAACAGATGCAAAATGGCCCATCTACTCCACTCCTAGCTATATATACAACAGATGTTCCTCATTATGTAACAGAAGATAAGCCCCAAAATGGTCATAGCATCTTTATTCCTAATAACTAAACACTCATAATGGGGCAAATATCTATCCAGAGAATGGATTAAGATATTATGGTATACACATGCAATGCAATATTATGTAAAAATAAAAATTAAACAACTGCTACACACCATAACATGGATGCATCTCATGGCTATTATGTCGAGTGAAAGGAACTGGAAGCAAAAGAGTATATTCTGCCTGGTTCCATTAATGTGAATTTCAAGGACAGGCAAAACTAATCGATAGAAGATAGAAGTCAAGGGAGTGGTTATGTGTTGGTGGGAGTATAGATTGGGAAGCAGCACAAAGAACACTATGGGATGTTATGTCTTGGTCTTGGGTGGTGGTTTCACTTATTGTGTGTTATGCCTAAATTTGCAAAGAGAGAAGAAAGGGAGGGAGACAGAGAAGAAGAGGG